AAATGATAAAGGCTGGCAAGAAAAACAGTGATGGGTGCAGGGATTGTGGGATTTTAGGAGTAATATTATTTTACATTTTTATAAAGCAATTCCTACCGTATAAAATTCATAAATGATAAACGACTATGTGAATTAACATAAATAAACATTTTTGGTTTTTTGATTTCATGAATTTATTTTTCAGGCAAAGTTTCTGCTTTTTCTTGTGATGAAACGTATCACATCTTTGTGGTGAGAGATGAATGTTAATGTGGAGCTTTGCTTGAGGATCTGCAGTGGCACTGTTTACAACTCAGTCTGATCTTTTTGTCAGAAATAAAAGCTTAAAGGACACTGCTACTAGTAAGGGTCCTCAAAGTTCTCCCACCACTAGAAAACTATCAGTTTTAAGAAAAATGGAGAGTTGAAGAAATCATTTAACATTAGTGTTCCCTAAAAAGCTGTCTCTTTTATCTTCCTTTGGATTCATTAATTATAGATACACAACATGATTTATAGATACTGGCAGAGATGGAGGTGGAAATTACTCACATTGGGAACTCAGACCTGACTCCCATAAAGAAGGTGCATGCTGTTAATGTTCCATAGTACAAAGAGACGTGAGAGTCACAACCACATGACATGTTCTTGGACATTTTAAAGCTGTGTATATTTGCCCCCAAAATGCAGGTTGGTCATTGGAAAATACTGGAATTATTTGTGTTAGTTAATATCCTTTTCCTGCTACTAAATATTATAGATTATGAAATTCTGCATCTTTTAGGAGCATCCCAAATTTCTTAAGCACATAAGAATCAAATTACTTAAATTATGTCTATTTCATATTCCAAGTGCATACATTTGCAATTAGCTATCTCAGGCATATTTTTTTCATTTAATTTCATCACCATCAAGTAGTATTTATTAAGCACAAACCTGGCTAATTAATTTTCTACAGAATAACAGATATCCTTAAATTCATTCTATTTAACAGTTCTTAAATAATATATCTAGCTGATACATGATATTTTTCCCTTAGCAAAAATTACGTTTAAATTTTAATTTTTACCTTAATATTTCAAAGTTTCACCAGGATAGATTCTACTGTCAAAGTCAGCATATCCAAATAAAAAAATGTTATTTAGAACAAGTATGACAGACTCCATGGATTTTCATTCTTACTACAATGTGTTCATGTTACCTAAGTTTTTCAAAATACCACAATTTTAATTATATATTTTCCTCATAGTGATTTAGGTAGGAAAATAAGCAGTTTAGGGTAGTAACAGTATAGATATGAAATATATTTTGGCTAAAATTTTTTAAAAAGTTAATATAGTTCATTAAAACTAAAGCAAAGGAAAGCTACTGATCTAGGAATTCAAAATGTTTCGCAAATGCATACGAAGATAGCAGGTTTTTGAAGTGACTACTGGTACTTTATTTGTGCCACTCTTGAGAAACTAAGAAGTGAATTTTAATATAGATTTGGGGAAGAAAATATTTTTCTCAGGATATTTTTCTAAATGCAGCAAATACAATTTCTTTCTGTTTAAAAGCAACAGTATTACATTTCACTTGGAACTGCAACCACAAAAATGGAATTTTAGAAAATCTTCCTCTAGGACATCATAATTTCATCCCAGTCACAATTCCCACTTGTGGAGAAGTTAACACATATACTTATATCTAGTATATTTTGTTTCTAAAGGCAATTATATGATACTTCAGGGGCAAATGCCCAGGAAGAATGATAGAAACAAAAACAAAGCTAGAAGCATGTAGCCTATGCTACTGGATAAGCACATTAGTACCTGTCCTCTGAGAAGCTGTATTTACTGTTACAGTCAATACACTTTGCAAGGAAAGTAGCACCGCTAACTGTGGTGCCTCAGAGAGGTGCACAAAGAGCTCCAGATGCCAAATCAGCCTATTCCTGCCTGCCATTTGCAAGGAACAATTTCTGGGCTTTATTTCATAATATCTGAACTCATTGTTAAATATTAAGAGGAAATTAAGCATTTGGATAATTTTGGATAGGATAAAAGTGTAGTTCTGTTTGACCTTAAATGAGTTAGGGACTCATTTACCAACTTAGAATAGCTAGATGCTCTTAATTACAAATAGAGACCTACAGATCTATAAGAAGTAACTTACTTAAGAGATGAAGTGATAGAAAACAGTAGCCTGAGAGGTACAGGGAAAAAACCCACAAAAAGTAGGCCCTCAGTTTGAGTCAGAGCCATTCAGGGTTTTATATCTGCTGGGTAGCCTGTCTTTGTTTATACCAACAGTAGCTCCCAGGAGAATACAGTGTACAGAATCCATAGAAAGAATTTGGTCATACTTTTCAAAGTAGTTTAGTTTTCAACAATCCTCCTTCCCCTGAGGGAAAAACACCTTGAGAACCAATTAGTGGTATGAAGGGCCAGGAGAAAAAGATTGTGCTCTGGTAGAAAGATTATTTTGTTGATTTCGGGTAAAAACCTGGGGCCAGATGTTAAGGTGGAGCGTCCCTGTGCTTATCTCCTCTTCGCCCCAGGGACACTGCGGTCTGCTACATTTGTATCTCCTCAATGGGGACAAGAACAAACTCTCAAAACAATTTTTGTAGGACATAATCCAGAATCATAAAACAGGCCACAATTTTTTGAGGAGTGGCAGTGGATTATTGGAATAATGGAAGGAGAACAGAGAAATATATCTTTCCTGTTAATCAGATTTCATGTGAGCAAAGCTCAGGCCTCTCCATCCTTTACTGCAAAAGGTAAACAAGACAAATGGATACTAAACATTCACAACAAGACTAAATCCATGATTGATGCCTCTTCCCGCTTAAGATCAGCTATAAATATGCTGTCCACTGGTTTTTAATGGTGTGATTGTCTGATTCAGCAGAGCAGTATCAGGAAAGTAATTTACATAAATGGAAAGTGAAATCTTTCTGCAAGAAATGGGACTGTTAAGAACTGCTTAGGTAAGGAGACGCTCACTTACACAAACAGGGATATACATATTCAACCACCCACCAATATCTGCTTAAGCATAAGTTATTGCCCATAAAAAAGCAAAGATGTTTGCTTTTAATTTCCAAAAAGTCATCTCAGTTTCAATTTTACTTGGAATAAATTCTGCAAATAGAGCTGTCATTAGGAATAAGAAGAATAATACCAAATTGATATCCACAAACATGGCCAAGGACCCACTGTCAAACACAGCACATGTTTAGGTGGCTTGGCTGAGGATAAGCACGAGACAAGAGCATCCTTGGTGACACCCCCTGCCCTGCAGGAGTGGAATGGACTTGAAAGATCTCATGTTACAGAGCCACGCCCCACAGGCTCAGGAGTCAGACTTTAGTTCAAGCAATTCCTGGCCATCTGACCACAGAACAGACAATAACCACTGCCAGGGACAATTTCCCCTTTAATAAAATGACATGATAATAATATGAGTACAAATATAAAACACTTATGATGGTGTCCAAGCATACACTAAGCACCAAGTGAAATAGGTGTTAATAGCTACTGTCATTGTTATTAATACTATAATTTCCCTTCTGTTCCTGGCTATGCATTTCTGAGGCATGTTGGGGAGTTTTATAGATTGGTTATGATGGGCCCCAATTCTTCAGCCTCCTCTGCATGCACACCTCAGCCATGGTCATATTGTTGGTAGAGTGTGTTTCTCTACCACACAGCCTTGGATTCAGCACTATGACTTGCTTAGACCAAGTTGTGTGTGTGTGTGTGTGTGTGCGTGTGTGTGTGTTTATTGACAGCGTGCAAATTAAGCAGCAGTCATTACAGGGCTTTTCCCAATCCTGCTGGCACTCTGATGCCTCAGTTATCCTGCAGATCCAAGGAGTGGGTGAAACCCATGGACCACACCCAGAAAAATGGACTTGCAGAGTGAGAAACAGAGAAACCAGCCTGAATCAGAGCCACCAGCACTACTGCAAGATACCCTGCAGGGCCAGGGGGACACAAAAGCTTACTCATATAGATTATTGAATGTACATGATTATGTACAATGTGGCAAGAGCTAAGAAATCAAAGGATGAATTAAAGAGGTGTCTATGCACAGCACAATGCTTACTTCCCCAGGGGGAAAAGGCATGGCCCTGGTGCAGTAGTGGTGAACCTATAGCTCACGTGTTATTGTGTTTTCCCTTTAAGTTGATATATAAGTTAAAGCCTCAGTATTCAGGTGCAATTACAGTGTGAGCATTTGTGATAAGTAAGTGGGGTTCTGGGTGCGTTTGGGTACTCATCTCTAAAAGGTTCGCCATCAGTTCTAGTACCTATGTTGAAACGGCAGTGGAAGTGCACATATGTGAAGACAAATGCTACAGCAAATTTACTGTCCTCATTCTACTAATAGAAGGTGGAGACAGCTGGGAAATTTTCTTGGTAGAAAGTGGTAAAGCTTGATCTGAGCACAGGAGATCTAATCAACCATTACACTACGTGATTAGCTCAGTGTGAAGGAGCAGGGTATGATGTTCCACTTTTTCCTGGGAATATATAAGCATCTTCAAGTGTTCAAATGTAAATATGCATTCTGAGCACCATGTTTATCTTCAAGGGCATAAAACATGATAAATAACCTTTAATTTATACTACAATCATCTCAGTTCTACTGAATTTCATTCTTGCAAATACAATTTTTGCATTTGTTGCCTTTATGTTGACTTGTTTTTAGTTTTCTTTTTCTGATTGTGTATTTTAGGCTCTACTCTGCTAGTTTACAAATTCAGAGAGGGATTCTAATGGAGTAATAAAAAGGATGCAAAAATCATTTTAATTACAATGGGTTTTTAGAACTATCTCGGAAGTAAAATGAACTACCTAACATATGAAAACAGGCAACTGCTCCTCAGATGTGTTCATACATAACTTTCTGTAGCTGCAAGAAAGCCTCAGTGGTCTCAGGCTTTTCCCCACCTCCTCCATCCAGACCCCAAGAACAACAGCCCCATCTCCCAGGAGCCTCACTGGGTGCAAACATAAGCTCCTCACCTTAAAAGCAGCACCTCCATGGATGATGGATTTGATAAAGATTCCCAAGTCCATTCCAGTTTCTCGGGCTTTGTTCCCTTTCAAGCTCACCCCAAGGCCAGCAGAACCAGAGTCATTCAGGGGGATCTCAAACGTGAGCTGCTCACTCATCTCCAGGGAGAGTGCATAACAGTCAGGTTCTCCTTTCTGTTAGGAAAATGTACATGAGACATGTGAAGAGGAGAAAGCAAATGAATGGTTCATATTCTCAGATGACCAAACGCAGAGTGATGGCAAGACAGGACAGATGGACCTCGAACAGGTATAATTTTGCTCCTGGCATCATCTGCTTTCTCTGCAGGAGGCCACCACCATGTCCATCCAATAGGACAGAGCTCGCAGGAGGTGCTCATTTGGTGATGGTTAGTGGAGAGGACCATTTGGCAAGCTAGAATCATGTGACTTGAAATATTCCATAAGCATTTGGAAATTCAGTGTATCATTTTTATACTTAAAAGGGCTGGACATTAGAATTAAGGAATGTTAGTGTCAGAATGTATCTCAGAGATAGTCTCAACATCTTCATTTTACATATGATGAAACAGAGCTTAGTGAAGAAATGTGTTAACATTTCAAGCTATTTCACTTGGATAATTTAAAACATATCGTTTACCGCAGAAGTGATGCTCTTGGTAAGAGTTGCCAATAGGACACAGAACCTGAAAAAATGTTACTTTAAAGTTAGAGAAATGTAATTTATAGTGCAAATCATTGAATTCAAAATCTCTTTGTCACAACTCATGCTTTAAGCCTACACCTTGAAACATGCAAATGCCTGTCAGTTTTTGGACCCTAACAAAAATGATTACGCACAACAAATATTCAGGTCTTCTGACAAATGATACACAGCCACAAGCTAATTATTCCCAAGAAAGACAGAGTACCATGGCAAAAGGTGCTTTCAGGGTTCAAGCCTCAAGGGAGAAGGATGTGACAAATCATGCTGGGTTCCTAATGTTTTCAAATGCACAGCAGTGGGGAGAAACACGTGCTATACACGTGACGCCTTTGTTGGTGTCCTTCTTGCACTCCTCACCAGCTTGTAGAAATGTGGAACTGCCACAGTGCTTAACTGGAAAATTCGAAAATGAGATATTCCTGGAAGCCATCAAGTCATTCTAGGCCAGCAGTTCCTTCCTCTCTGTAATTATGTCTAGAGTCACTCATCTTAGGGTCACTTTGAGGGTACTCTTATGTGAAATTACATATTTAAAAAATTACTACGAATGTCTGAATGCCAGTCAGGAATAACTATAAAATCTGAAGTGGCAAAGAACCCATAATTAAAACAGAATTAAGGGGTCTGATCATAACCAGATCCACTGACATGACATTTTTAACCCCTAACAAAACAGAGAGAACTCACACATAACTTTTAAAGAAATAGTTCATTTAATTTCACTGTAAATGAGGTTAGCTGTAAAGATTTTGACAACAGGTTATTCAAAGAAATGGAACTTTACTGCTTAATTGAATAAACCTATTACAGGTTAGCTCTTTTTAACTAACTCATTATATTATTATGTAAGAAACAAAATTCTATTGTTTGTTGTTAATTAACTGTCTTTTTTCCCACCAGAGTGTCAAAAGTTACTGCTAATAATTAGCCTTCTACTTTGTTTTATAATATTCTCAATTTATAATCTATAACATTTGCCAGTCATTTATGTTTCCAGAATTCTCTGGGATTTGGTTAATTTCAGTCTAATACAGCTTTTCTGAATTAAAGTATAAATTGAACAACTATTATGATTATATGTCTGTAAATACTTTAAGGGAGAAAACTAGAAGGCCTCTCTGGCTTTTATCTTATAGAGAGAAAGCTATAAAGACTAGTCTGATTTAGAGACATAGTCACATGTCATTTAACCCTGGGGCACATTATAGAAATGCACTGATAGGAAATTTCTCTTGTGAACAACCCAGAGTGGACTCACACAAGCCAAAAAAGCTGTGTCACCCAGCAAAAAATCTTATAGGACCTCATCCTATATGCCTCATATCACTTACACACACATCATTATGTGGCACATAATGTACACTCACACCATTTATTCTGCAATCAAATAGGTTCTCTTTTGGCAAATATATTTACTTTTTAGGAAGATTCATAACCATTGTTATTTTGCACTAACACTGTTCATTTGTTACCTAAATGTACAAACAAAATAGAGATTAGGTAGCATCATGGTTATCTTTTTATTTGTTTTTTTTTTTGTTTTTTCTCCGGTACCGGGAACCGAACTCACGACCTTGCACTTGCCAGGCAGGCGCTTTGCCGCTGAGCTAAATCCCCAGCCCCTGGTTATCTTTTTATTTGAAACTAATCTTTTGTAAGTCCCTGAAATCTGAGAGCCAGAAGTACAAGAAAAACAATAAACTCAGGGCTAACAATGATTGGTCAGTCTCATTCTAAAAGCTTTACATGTAGTAATACGATTATTTTTCATAGTGATACCTTGAGATGTATTACCATGCCCATTTTACAGGTGAAGAAATAGAGGCACACAGAGGTTAAGTGCCAGATTTATAGTATACAATATTTGTCAATGTTGGAGTTTTTGCGGAGTTTAGACAGTATGTTTTCTGGGTTAAAATCTTCATTTATTTATTTTTAGTGAAGCGTTCTGAATTGTCTACTACATTTCCATGTTCTCCGTTACTCTACACTCATTTTCACCAGAAGCACTGACTTTTAAGTTGCCATTTCTTTATGGATAAGATATTATGTGAATTGTGTTTATTATCTTTTAAAATTATTTTAAATTGACAAATTATATACATATATGGTATAGCTAATGAGTTAAAATATGTATACATAGTAAAATGGCAAACTGAGCTAATTAATACATGCAGTACCTCACATGCTTATTATGTGATGAGATCTCCTAAAGTCTGCTCTCAATGATTTTTAAGAATACAATGCATTGTTATTAATCACAGTCACCATGAAGTACAGCAGACGTCAGGAACTAATTTCTGCTACTATTGAAATTCTGTATCCTTGGCCCAATATTGCCTTTGTTTCCCTGATCCCTGCGAAGCACCAATCTGCCCTCTACTGCCGTGAGTTTGACTTTGTCAGACTGTTCAGTGCTACAACATATTATATCCTTAGGTCCCAGCTTCTGTGGACCATCATGGCGTGACCCAGCCACAAAAAATTCCAGGATGGATTCCTGTGATGATACTAAGATGACATACAATTCTATATTCTTCACCAACTTTAGCTATGTTTTATCTTTCTTATGCTGTACCAGACTCAAGCTATAATTAGTGGTCTCTAATAAGAGCAGCATTCCCAATGGTGAAGGAAGCCATTATAGTAGTTAACCCAGCCATTTCCTCTGTTAGAAATAAATATCGCTTTACCTAATGTACAAAAAATCAATACGCTGATTGCCTCTTTCTAATAATCTTGGTTCAACCAACAACTCTAAATTAAACTCAAATCCTGCCAGACAACATCATGCAGCACATGGAAATGAGTATAAGGTACTCCCAAGTGTCTCCACTGAAGGACCTTAGAGAGACAATGAGCCTGAGCGCCATGTCACATCCAGACCTCAGATCCTCCCTGGCTCCCTACCTTTCTTTCAGACAAGAGGTGTCAGGAGTACCCTTGCTTTTCCCTTCACAGATATCCGCATTAAATTAGTGATGATGCTAGTGAGGCAGGGGGGTGGAGGAGGATGGTCATAATGATAATCTGAACAGGTAAGGCTGGTGCTGGAATGGGAATCTTGGGATAGCCAACCCAAAATGCCTTCAGACATCAAATATCACCAGGGGTAAGAACCACCTCCAGTTGAAAACCACTGCTTTGATGTTTTAGTATATGTGCTGCTGAAGTGATCACGTGAAGACCACTTCTTTGAATCAACAATTACCTGATACAATCGAATTCAAGGAAATTGGGGTCCAAAGAAGCACGTTAGCAGCTGCTGGCTGCATTGCTACTTGTTGATATGTCCCCAAGTTCCAGGAAGGGGTGCCAGCAGACATCACTGAGACTGGCAAGGTCTGGGCTCACAGGTTCAGCACTGACACTTAGTTGGTAGGAATGAACTACTGGAGAACCACATACTCAGTTATATTTATGGTTATATGGCAGCTAATTTTCCAGAGGCAGAAATGTGATCTTTGTGAGATGAACAGAGTAAAAAAGGTGATAGAAAATACTAAATTTATTGGTACATTTACAAAATGCTTCCTTTTGCTTATATGAGAGTCTGGAAGAAAAATGCATCCTATCACACAGAGTTCATTAGACCAGAGATCCTGATCTGCATTCTAGTTTTATTCTTCTCTATTTATTAAGAATGACAGAATTACACAAAAATAGTATTGACAAAGATTTAATCATGTGAGAACAGGATAAAACATTAAACAAAACAAGTTTCTGCATACAGAATATTTCAGTTATGTAACATATATACCTTACAAACATACTTGGAAATCTACCTGTTACCTACCTAATCCTTGCCCTCACTCCATCTAGCTGCACAGAAAAATAAAATAAAAAAAATACAATACCTAAAACTGGATTATGTACTAGCATTGGATATGGCTAGTTTTCTTTTAACTTTTCTCTTTGTTTCCAAATCTCAATGATTACAAAAGGTTAAGCGTTTTTTAAAAGAATTTATGAAGGTGTAGCAGGCATTTGCAATATTACCATATTGCTAATTATTGAAGAAATATAACTCTATAGTGACATAGACATACACACACATGCATGCACACTTGATCATTAATCATGGAAAGTCAAACTGAATGGATTAAGAAATGCCTAGCAGGGCTGGGGATTTAGCTCAGTGGCACAGCACCTGCCTGGCAAGCACGAGGTCGTGAGTTCGATTTCCGGTACTGGAAAAAAAACAAAACAACAACAACAAAAAGAAATGTCTAGCAGATTAGTGGAGCACAGTTCTGGGTGTGCCAGTGGATGACTGACGTATAGGCCACAGACCACCATTGTGGATGCTCCTGCCTATGATCCCATAAGCCTTGTTATAAATCCCCTTGCATAACTATACTTATATTTTCATTGATTCTATTCCTCTAGAAAATTCTACTACTCTAGACAATTACATTACTGTGGATAGTACATAGACCTTGTATATATACTATATATATATATATAT